TATTTTAGCCTGAATGTTCTATACCTGTAAACAATGGTGATAAATATTGCAATCGAATTGCAAACTATATAAGTTTTTGCAACATTGCATTTTCCATACCAATGACATCACAATACAGTCACAGGAATTGTTGAGAGTAAGAGATTACTTACGACTGACATTTAAATATATATGAATATTTTCGTTTTCTCAGTTAATATGATTTGACTGAAGCATAGAAGTACATACTTCGTAAATTTTGCAGTGAAATTACATTGCAATTGTGAAATCGGTTTATAATTGATGGAATGTACCATGTGTTCGCCCACATATTTTGTGCAGAAAAGTGTCGTTTTTGCACTTAGTTCGAATTCTATTGGAAGTTAGCACCAAAAATTTTTATTCTATATATCGATATGTTATTTTATTTGTAGCAAACAGCTGCAAGATTGCTGCCGTAAAATGTGAAACTGAAAGAGGGAAAGGCGCGGCATGGGGTGCATGAGGAGCGGGAGGCAGGGGTGAGTGAGGTGGTGGAGGCAGGGGTGAGTGAGGTTGTGTGAGTGAGGCAGCTTATGGACCAAAGGGGACTTATCGATTTTGCAATGAGAAAAGACAAACTTTGCCTCTGGAAATGTGCTTGTTTGTGCCGCGCGACAAGGGGACCTCCATGGCTTGTCGAGATGATGTCATCATTGGAGTGTCCGATGGATGCTTGATCAACGGTGTGTTATTGCTTCATAATCTGCATAATAATGGTGAAATAATGGACGAACTTGAGTAATTTGGTGTCGCCACAAAATATATATTTTTTTTTGTTCTTATCCTAACTATATTCGTGATGTCGTGTTCTGAGCTTCTCTGAACAGAAAAAAACTCTTATTTCCATTGTAAATAATATAAGCAAATATGAATTAACGCATTGTGTTTATTTCGTAGTCCAAAGCTTCTATAGTTTCCCAATGATTTTATTGAAATACAAATACTGTGTTAATTTTCCATCACTTCAATATTCCTTCCCAAAAGACGAAATATCTGCAATATTTCTTCGTTTAACAAAAATAAGCTTCCTCTGCGGAGAAATGTTTGTAAAATGTCGTGAAAAATTAAATTTTGATATAGAATTAAGAACAAATTATAATAAAATTACCAAAATTTAATAAACAACTCGCGACTAACATGCAGTTTAGCACCAAATTAACTGATTAAAATTCTTGAACATTTAGAACATTTCTCTATGAAGAAATTTTAATCCTTCGTGATCTTTATTTTTGTACAGCTTTAGTATTCATCATCATGCATGGTATCGTAATAAAAATACCAAGTTCTCCTATCTGTTTCGCCGATTAACAGTTTGGTCGCTCTTTCATTATGGGTAGATCTTAGGTACAATAATAATATAATAAAAAGATATGATAATAAAAGATAAGATAATAAGTTTATTGCAATAAGATAATAAGTTTGTTTAGCTAGGGAAAGACGCCGCTGCTTGATTTCTCTTCTCTCCTGGAGACAAGCCAAGATTTTCCCCATACGCGTACGCCTCTCTCAACTGCAGGCGATGAAGTATCAAGTTCGCGAATAATAATCCCACAACCTGTGAAATAAGCTTCAAAATATTTCTTACATTTTTGATATTATATGATCGGGTGTTGGGAGAAAACCTCATTCAGGAAATAAATACTTGTCAAGACCTCCATAGAAATTTTCTAACCCTTTGGTTTCTAGGAGATTACATCAATTCTTGATTTTATCGAACTGACAACCATACCAGCTATAAAAAACGTTAAAATAACACTGAACTAGAAAAATTATCGCAAAATTTGTCCAATACAGCCTTTTTTGCTAAAAAATAATCATTAAAGATCGAAAATTTTCCTTTATCATTTAAATAATCTTTTATTTCTCATCGTCGTTTAAACGATCCAAATCTCCAAAAATAGAACTCATACCACCACTCGCATCTTCCCGCGTTCTAATATGTGTCTGCTCCAGGTCGCCGAGTTCAACGATTATTCCTTATACCTATTTACCATACACGATTATTCCTTATACCTATTTACCATACACGTCAAATATATCAGAGCCGATGTAGGGTGAGCGTCTGAGAGCATGATTCCATGCTAACCATTTAAATTCAAATGATGCAAGAACCCCCCACTCAGTTTTTCTATTCTCATTTAGCGGCGGAAATTCTCGAATGACTTCGTTCCATAGACGCTGCGTGGCACACGTTCATCTTTATACTAAACCAGAGGTTGATCTAAAAAGGCATGTTATTAGAAATATATGGCTAAGATTTTTGAGGTTGGTGTAGGTTAGTTAATATGTTATAATAGTTGGAGTTTTTGCCAGATAGTGTGGATGATTTACGAAGTTGTTTTTAGACTCTAAGAAATCGCGACGCTTTCATGGATATGATTGGAGTCGTTTGACTGGCCTGGGATTAGGGATGATATACTGTAATTCATAATACATCTATATTTTTTCTTTTAGCTCCGAATATTCAGTTTTTAGTATTCCAAGTGCTTTTTGTTGTAGAACTAGTACTTCGCCAATAAGTCCAGATACTTTATTTTTTCAAGCAACTTCTTTCAACTTTTTGAAATTATTCAAAATTAATTTAATTGAATTGGTTTCTGTTGGCAAGTCGACATTCACGGTAAAATTCATTAAGAAAGTTATAATATTAAAATTTTATCTCTGAATCTCCTCAGATATTGCGTTCAAGCATAATTTTTTTTGACAATTATTGCTTTACGCGGTGTTAGTTCGTGTTTTTTATACAAACATTTATTAAAATGAATTTCCATCGATGTTTTTCTTGAAATTTTGCTTCTCAATATTCTGCTTACATCCAAATTTAGTTTCCATCAGAACCATGTCCGGGGCTGATAAAGGTGCAGAGGGCGGCGCGGGGACGACCCAAGCCAAAATCGATATTCGCACGCCATTGCCTGCTGATTTACATTAACACTTGCTGGGTGGCAAGCGAAGCCAGACCTTCGATATAACGAGAATCTGGTTAAAAATTGATTTTTCAATTTGAAATTTTATGCAGCTTGCAAATGACATAAATTTACACTTGCGATTACCTTTTATTCATTTTTAATTGTGAGCAGGTGCTTTTTCTCCATTTTGCGAGCTCTCTGCAAAATCATGGCAAAAAAATGAGAAATAATGTTCCTTTACATTTCACCTACGATGTGATGTTCAATATGAAAATTAAAAAGTAATAAATATTACATTATGAACAAAACTCGTGATTAAAACAATGACGTCAAGAAAAACAAATATTTAATAATTTATTCTAGCAAAATTTTAATAATTCAAGAGTCTGACCCAATCTTAGATGACGAAACATTCGTACGCGGTCCATTTCCTCGGGTCCTGGGAATTCACTAATTATTCGTTAGGCTGAGACGACGCCTAATGACGGTGTATGGGCTGGCAGGACTTCAAAAAGGACAACAATTAAGCTTTACGTGACGTGTTGAGCGACCTGCTTGCATGATCTTCGTATTCGAGATCCTGTAATGCGAGTTGTCCGCTCAATTCAATACACACATAAATTAAAGGCAATCCTTTACAGCGTCAATCATTATCTCAAACCGTATCTGTAGGCTAGAGTCGTGAAGCTTGTGTCAGAAATTTATTAGGACAGCTAGCTGAGAAATTGCCTGGTCATGAGAACCGCTAGGGCGGGATGCGGAGGATGAGTCGGTATCTCTCTGAACTCAGTCAATGGCTTCAAATTGAGGCCTTGAATGAACCTGTGTTGAAGTTGAAATTGAGGCCTTGAATGAACCTGTGTTGAAGTTGGGTGCCGCGTCGAGAGCGTCTTCAGTTCCCCTTAACTTCTTGTCCGGCAGCTCTGGTCTAGATGTTAGGCAGCTTAAGCGATTCAGAAAGATTTAAGTGATACATGTTTTTTTCTTGTTTAATTTTTATACAAAACTTAGCAGTTTTATTTTTATAGTCTTCATTGCTGTAATAGAAATCTATTAATTTGAAGCATTTTAATGCTCACTTGGCATCGCATTTGTATGCGAGACTCATGCGTTATGCATTTCATTACGTCATCTAAGATGATTTTGAACAGAATGATATGATTGTAGAATCACATTACATAAAAAGTCTTATATTGAAACCAGTTCATTCGATTTTTCAATTTGAAAGTTTTTATGTAACGAAATCCACAAAACATCATATTTTTAATGAGCGGACTAGCAGTTCAGAAGAATTTTTTAGAATTTAAACAAAAAATTCATCTGAGAAATTTATACGTGCATACGGCGCAGCAACTGAAAGTCTACGGAAGCATGGCTTATAAATTCTCTTTTGTGAGACAAATGTTTTTCGACTCTTTTTTTGTCCAAGTTGTTGAAGAATGCAAATGTCTTGTCTGACTGTGACTGTAGAACCAGTAAATTTATATATTTAATTTCCTAAATGTGTGGAAAGGTTCTGTTCTTTTATAACTTGAATTCGTAATCATTAGAAATTATAAAGTTTTTTTTCTAGTTTTCAATGCATAATAATGACAGTTATGACCGTTAAATTTTGTGTGTTGTATGAGACTAGCCGTCAATACCCTGCATTACTGAAAATGATCAAGAGAGCTTCATCATAAACGTAGTTTATAGTTTGGTTTTACATATTCAAAGAAAAAATGTATCGTGTTAAAAATGCCAGTTATGTATTAGATTCAACATTAATTGCTATAAATTCGGAAAAATTCATTAATGAAAAATCCGAGTTAAATTCTTTAAGTGGGTATGTTAAATTCATTCCTTTAATGGAATTCGTGAAAAAATGGATAAAATGTCGCTCCATTATAAGCTCCTGGAAATATGAGTAATTTGCAGGAAGAAAACTAAAACACATTGTAGCCTATCATATTACATAGCCAAATAATATTTTATCTGCGAATTTGTTCAAGTTATACCACTCACTAATGTTCCAGTAGTTTTTCAGTTTATCTCAGCCTTGATAACAGTTTTTTTTATATTTCCTTGCAGGCACGCTGGGCTCTAACCCTCTGGAGAGCTGGACAGGCAACGTCACTGTGCGGAAGAAGCGGAAGCCCTACAGCAAATTTCAGACCCTGGAGCTGGAAAAAGAATTCTTGTACAACGCTTACGTCAGTAAACAGAAACGCTGGGAGTTGGCCAGGAATCTAAACTTGACAGAGCGCCAAGTCAAAATATGGTTTCAAAATCGACGAATGAAGAACAAGAAAAACAGTCAAAGACAGGCGGCTCAGGAGGCGGCTGGAAATAACGGCGCAACGACCCCTTCATCCGGAGGAGGTACACCGGCCCATGGACCCACTACCCCACAGACTCCAAATAGTATCAAAGCTTGACCAAATGCGGGGGTTGGGAGCTCTGGAGCTGCGGGGACACTCAACCAGGGAGTCGTGGTCCCCTCTGGAGTTTCCGAACCCCCCTTAGAGCAACAAGGATGGCCCCAGTCATGGTGTTAGGCTACGTGATATTATAATGTCAGCAGCCTCCTTCTTATCTGCTTCTCTGATTCATCAAATCGGTACTTAAATCACCTATTGTTTGTTTTGACGCTCAGGTAATGCTTGTTTTGGTGCGCATAACATCATTTTAGATTTGGTATAACTTTTATCACCAGGCTGAAGATAAACGGTCGGTTTATAACTGAATCTGGTTATGAAAACTTAAACTGGGAATGAAAGACTGTAAAAAATGTTAATCGAGTTACTGATTATTCATTGATTCCACAACATCATACCAAGCCAGATTTTTCTCACTATTTTAGTGTGTAAGTCGTCTTCTGAAGGTGCGCTGAGTATCCATATGGGTGATCTAGAGCTCGATTTCGATTTTATTTCCTCTTAGTGCTTATTGCCGTTAAATATTCGAAGACTGCTAATTTTCTTGAACTCTTGACGCTAGCTAATTATTCTCACAGAACTGTATCATATTCAATATGCAAGAACTGTTTTCACGTTCACCTACATATTGGTCATGTGCGATGCCGGGTAATACTTTAAATTTTGGTAATCAGGCCCCTGGTGTTTTTATTGTAGAAATATCACTTTGCGAAAATATTCTCAAAGAACAGTGATCCAAAATTTCATTAAAAACATTAGGCAGAGTTAAAATTTATTGTGCGCTCTACATACATACATATATATAAGTAGATACTATATGTATATGTCATTGCTGAAGTGGAAGCGAATTTCAACTGAAAAACAATGTAGGGTGAATTGAGGTTAAATGTTGCCAACGTATGTTTTGAGTGGTAGGTTCTGTGCACTACGGGTACTAGTCATAAAGAGTTCAAGTGTGCTAAATAAACTGTTTTCTTTATGACAGAGAAAAATTATTATCATTTAGATAGGGCAAACACAGTCATCGCAGCTCATCCGTTAACTTTCGTTCATTGATTTGGTTGCTTAAGATTTTCGTCTCAGTCATGAGCTACGAGGTCATCGAGTCTCAAAAAGGAAGGCTACAAAAATATATAATAAAGCTTGACATTTGGAAATTGACGTGAAAATGTCGGAAGATGTAATAGTTGTGGAGTCATATCCAAAACAGGAAACAATTTCGAAGTTATGGCTAGGAATTTCTCTCGTGGATGGTGTACATTGTTAAGTGGGAACTATTTAACGTCAGTCATTAAGCAATGTAAATATTGTAATTTTGCTCGAGATTAATAATGGTCGTACCAAGGAATGAAGAAAAAAACTTTCTTTAATAGGTATGCAGTATTCGGTTAAGGTTTTTTCTTAGCCTGATTCTAATACTCAGTCATTGGATACCATGAAAAATTGTTTTCTCAATCTTTTAAGTAATAAATAATTTTTACTTACTCCCTTTGCCTTATTTCATTGTATCTATTCTCATCTGAGGTTTCTTCCATTTGTTGGTTATTGTTATCAATGTTGTTGTGTATCTACGTTTATTATTACGCTATTGTATTTAATTTCTCTACTTTTTGTACATTGTACTTTGCTAATGTTGTATAAAGATTTTTATAAATTAAAAATGGTCTGAGATTTCTGGCCAATGCAAGGAAACAATAAAAATATCAGAATGAAAGTATCTAACAAATTTTGGATAAGTATTATTTTAGATTTTTCACATCAAGTTTCTAAAAGTTTGCATTGCTTTCACCAGTGCTTCTTTGTTAACACATTTACTTTGTGTTAGATCCTAATATTAAATTAGAACCTTCTTTTGCGTCATCAAATTTTGATTTCAATATAACTTCCACCTTATCATAGTTTATCCTTTAAATATTAATCAGCACAATGTTGGATATCTTGGTCATTTGCTCAATTGCATTTTTCTTGAGAGCTTCAATTTTGAAAATATGGTTTCAGTTGATGGGCATTATTCGAAATATTATTGGTCACTATAGTGGGAGTTAACTAATTCTATTTAAATCAATCATAAGGCGAGAGAATTTACTGGTCACTAAAAAGTTGCATGGGTACGTTGAAGAATTTTTTTATTGAAATTCATGCATAATTTACGGCAACATTATTGTTGCTTTCACTGCACAACGAAAAATACGAACGTAGATAAACTATAGGCATACAATTCTTGCTAGCCAATGTGTAGCATTCTAACCGATAACTAATATAAACAATGCGTAATTTTTAAATCGAGTAGTCGAATGGTAGGATTTGTATAATATTTGTACAGAATATCCAGTAGCTGTAATTTAGCTGTTACATTTTTAGCCTCTCACATTCGCTGTACCTAAACTTGCTTAGAGTTGCTCTGTTTTCATGTTTTAATGTGAAGATCAACTAAGAACTCTTGTAAAGTTATCCCTAGCAACAATTTTTGTAATTGACTGCGATGTTTCTCGTGAAATATTTTGTTTATGTTATAATTCATTATTGACATTTTGTTCCACGGTCTTCGTTAACCGTCTGAGTATTATAATTGTCCAACATTTTGATCTGGCATTGAAAAAATAAAATAGATCTACTAAATTTTTAAAGTAAAACCAGTGTCTGGAAAACCAGATTCTAGAAATCATGATTCACAGAAGCTCAATCACATACGCTGTAAGAGAAAACTTGGAATAATTGCCATATATTAAAGACGGAACACGGTCTAGCCCGCGGGTTTGGTCGAAGCGGTGTTTTGAATAGACCAAGAAATACCTGATGAGCCAGAGCCCCTCTATAATTTCTGTACATATTTTATCATAGCGTGAAATTCGCTACTAAATTTTCGCGCCTGTCGTACGTACGTCATTTATTTTCGTTCCAGACTTGATTGCTGTTCTCTTGATGCTCCTCTCGAACGTTGTTCTACGCAAGTGTTTAGAATAAGAAATGAGTAAATGAAGTACAAAACTGGTGTGTATTTTCATCAATCCTATGATAAGCTCTTCATTATTCCAAAAAATTTCATATAAATTGGGGTGTTGAACCAAAAATTTGTATGGCCATTGATATCACAATGCATTGAATGATGCTGATGAAACGAAGCCTTTTGTTTGTTTGACTTTCTATCTAATATTGATTTGACCAATACAAATATGAATGAATATATAAATTAAAGTTGAAATTATTTTTTACAAAAATTCGCATGAATATTAATTATTCAATACGAAAAAGGATTTTGTGAATCTTACGCAAAACAGCTGTGTAATCCAAATGCTCGCTCGTCCCGACTGAATAAAAGCAAGCTAGAATTATGTTAGCGAAGCTACGAAATTACAACTGTGCTGGTAATTAGGAGCTAGACAATTTTTCGAAAAAAAGACAATTGTTTATGTTTGCTAGAGAATTTTTCGAAAAAAGTTGATTTGAATAAGAAAAAGCCAGGTTGAATAACAAATATTAATTTAGCCGAAAAAAGTGTGTCATAGCATGCACCTACTGAAGCTTAAAAATTGGGCTGAGATTCAGGGTGGCTGGATGGTTGTCAGATCAGATGCAGTATTGATAAAGTATTTACTATTGATTCAGCTTCAGAGCAAACATAATTTAATATAGTTATAAAAATGAGTGAACGAGCAGGAATATATTTGAAGTAAAGTAAAAAAATACTACAATATAAATTGGAAAGGAGTGACTATGTCAAAAATTAAGACACGCCACCTGCCCCGATCTGCTTTTCACACGATATGCTGTTCACTCTTATCAGTGAACACCTGTTGCGCTGCTGAACACATCTGCGCCTCGTGCGTAATTCATGATAGTCATCAACTTTAAATCCAATTCTGTCACATTCAATAAGAACATTTTCTGCTTAACAGTGCTGATTTTACTGACGATTTATATCAATTACATAAAGAAATTGTATAAATTAAAATTACCTATCATTTCATTACAAAGAAACTCTCTTGCCTTTGTACATTTTTGTACTGAGTCATAGCCGAATTTAATGACGAAATTTAATTTCACTGATAGGGAAATTACGTAGACTTCGTAATTAATTGGAAATTACGTAGACTTCGATAGATCAAAAGAAAAAAGAAATTTATAACTTAAAAAATTGAATTCGGTAAAATAATAGGAATCTAATAATTGAATTAATTGTTCAAGTTTATATCTGAAAGTAGTATAACCGTTTGAATCAAATCGTGCTGAACATTTGATGCGTAAATGTTCATATGCCAATGAGAACATTCGCATTGACATAACTCTTATGTTCAAGGCCACACCGTCAGAATTCTCATTCTCTCAAAACAAAGTCATATGACGATCAAAATATTCGTTCTTTCAGAACAAAGTCATATGACGATCAAAATATTCGTTCTTTCAGAACAAAGAAATCTGACAGTAATTTTTTGGTCAAGGTTATAATCAAACTTATTTTCGTCCTTTGAGCTATTAGACAGCTCATTAAAAAGAACAAGGAAGAATAGTTCAATTTGAAAATTCACAATTTCAAGAAGCAACGACACATCTTTAATTATAGTCGATCGGCGATTATTAATATTATCATACAACCAAATACGAGTAAACAAATATTTGTACTATCAAAAATTTTATTCTTCATTTGAGAGACAAAGACGTTGAACGACAATTCAATTACGTCTATTAGTCAATCAGTATTAATATGGCAGTACTTCGTCGAATATTCTATATAAAAATGTTACTTCGAATTTAATTTTTTTTCTACAGTGCCAATGGTTTGTTTTTATTCGTCGCAGGTTTTCTAACAAAGAATTTTTTCTATATAGGCTCATAAGCTACTATTTTAATAGAAGTCGAGGTTATTAATAATTTTTACTATTGATTCTCAGAAATTTTTTGTTGTCTAAATACCACCTTGAATAAAGATACTTCTGAGCTGAGCGACAGTTTATAACTTTCAAAAGTAATGTCAGGTTTTGTTTAGGTAGAGATTGCTATATTCAGTCTGTCATTCAACTCAGTTTCAAGTTTCATTTTGCGTCATTAAGAATAATGAACAGATGAAATTACTCTTCTAAACTTAGAAATAATTTGAAACTATCAGATGAAAAATCAAATACTTCGCCCAAGTTTGTGACTTCCGTGACATGTGCCCTTGTGCATGAGTGTTGTGCAGCCACCTCAGTTTCATCGTTCGTTTTCAGATTAGGCGCACGTTTTCTACCGACTCTTGGCGCGATTTTTTGAGGAGAAACTGCTCAATTATCTTCAGTTGAATAATCACGCGTTCATGAAGCATCAAGCTCTGTTGTTGACTTGCCAGCCAAGCTCAGTTATTTTTTTTAATTCAAATCTCCGTTACAGTAAACATGAAATGTTTTGAATAATCTTTCAATCGCCCTCATTTTCGAATAGTTTTTTCAACCTTTATTAAGTAGAAAATGAGAATATATAATATTGTTCTGTGTTTTGTATTTTCTTATGCAAAAACAATTGGAACTGCGTTCGAAATCCGAGTGGGCATCGGGGCAAATAAATTTTTGGCCCATTAAAATTAAGTACAAATCATAAAATCCTTTTGGATTATTTGAATATAAGGAGAAAATCTATAGGGGACCAAAAAATTGTATTAAAGCGTTTCGTGAACACAAGCTAAGACACGCGTTCGGATAGCTTGAATGTCCAACTGTATTTAATTAAACTGGAAGATATGTAATCAACAGATGACCAATGCATCAAATAAAATATTATTATTACCATTATTAATTAATAGAACAATATTAATCGCTAAATTTATTTTCTCGATCACCACGGGGATATTAACGTATAGAGGATAACCCTTCACGCACTGTACTCAGTAAGGACGATACTCATAAAATGAATTTTTTGGTGAATTTCAATTCATAAAAGAAAAATAACATCACTTAAAGAAGAAAAATATCACAAAATCACATGAAGAATAACAACATCGCTAAATTTCACCGCATGTTTAGAAAAAATTGTCAGCGATCGAACTTTCCGCGATGTTCTTAAGCAAAGTGACATCTGCTAGCTGGACGAGGAACCAGTTCTGCCGTTGGGAACTGGTCTGAATATATGCGGTGACGCTCGCCAAGATTAAGCGATAGTTTCCTATCTCTTAATTGATACGGAAATCGATTTCCAGACCACCGTCCAGTTTCTGATACATATTTACCGTTTAAGCACTGAACGGTTACTTGACTCCTACTGATTCTTTCATAGACTTATTTCTTGTACAATATGGTGCGATAATCTTCGTGTAACTTCTTGAAAAAGTGATGCTAAAACTTAAGAAAACACTATAAGAGAAATTATGCAATTAATTTGTCAATTACATTGAAATCCAGGTATGATCATCATTCATTTTGCATTTTTTCATCATTTACTCGCAGAAAAATGAGTATTGCACGTTCATCAGATTGTGATAATAACAACTGCCGCAGCCGCATAATAACCAACATAATAATAACAACTACCAAAAGCCGCAATTAAAACGAGGAATGCTGAAACTCCTGCGTTGTAAATTTATCATCGTAAACTATCGCTGGATTTGAGAGCTTGTTGCGTGTACGGAGAGACGGATCACTTCCTGTCCGAACTATGTTGTTCATTCCATACAAGCATGGACTTCATTAATTTGGCCCTCAAGTGAATGGTAAATTTGCGTTGAACGTTTTTTTTAGACATATATATTTTGTGATTCATCCGCGGGGGTTGTAATGGTTTTATTAAAAAGTTAGAAGAGAATGCGCAGTTGCATGAAGAGAAGCGATACTTAATGGCAACTTAAGTGCCTTTTTACGCAATTATCTCGATCGATAAAATTCGTAATCAAGCGGATTTTTAAACGTGATAAATAGAACTGCAGTTTTGTTAATGATCTTGCTGAAAAAAAGAAAACGAAACAAAAAGAGCCAGAAATTGCTTTAGTAAATGTGTAAACTAGTGAATCAATTAAATGGTAATAAATTTTATTATAAAGATTTTTTCGTACAATGTTAATTACTGAGAAATATGTTCAGATCTCTCAATTTTCATCTGAAATCAGCAATAAAATCGATAAGTTTTAAATCCACGGATCTACCTTCACTCACTTGACTTAGATAACATGAGGCAAATTAGTGAATTGAATCATTAAATGTCACTATTAATTGAAAAATTATATACAAATGCCATAGAATGAAATAGTCATTTAATTCGGATTAAAAAATTTTTGTTAATATTTTCACCTCATTATTTCATATATTTACTTGAAGGAAACAAGTATAAATCTTGAATGAAACTGAAATTCATTCTTATGTTGCTCGCACTTTATCAAATTGTAGTTAGATAACAGTATCGAAATAATCAACTATCAATAATTATTCATAAAAGCAAAATTTTGTTCCTTTAATTCCACTGAATTACATTACTTACTTAATCCATGTAATATTTCCCGTCTGAGGGAAAATCGGGATTTAGACGTAAATGTCTAAATCCCGATTTTTCTAATCATGTCTTTTTTTCATGTCTAAATCTAAATTTTAGACATGTCTAAAACGTACATGTCTAAAATTAAAAGCAATGGGGAGATAATTGGTCTATAATTTAGAGCGATGTGTGCAAGTGATGAATGTGGAAGAATGGCTAAACTTCAGCCTGTCATATGAAAAGAATATTTTTTTAGAGCGACTGAAATGTAACAGTTTTTGTGTAATAACTGTTGAGCAATCATTGAACAAAACTTTTTTATACAGAGGGATTTTGTAGTTCCGTTCGACAGTATAATGTGATTTCAAAGGCCGACTAAATTAATATCGTGATTAGAATGATAATTAAATGGCATATTTTTAATGCAATGTCTTATTCTTAAATAAAAAATTAATAGGTCATATGTTGGCCTAATAGTGACACACTTTCTGCGCGTAGTTCTGATCATCTCTTTTTACGATCAAACTGGGCCATGATGACACATAGATTGGCAAAAATGTA